GGACCTCCAGCTCCTCTACGGCTCAGTGAGACCCATCCTGGACCTCCGGCTTCACTACGGCTCAGTGAGACCCATCCTGGACCTCCGGCTTCACTACGGCTCAGTGAGACCCATCCTGGACCTCCGGCTCCATGACTTTCACCAGCCCAGTGAGACCCACCCTGAACATCAGCCTCCACCATAACCACCAGCCCGGTGAGACCCATCCTGGACCTCCTGCTCCACGACTTCCACCAGCCTGATGAGGACCGTGCTCAGGGTGGTGGGCAGCTCTCCCCTCTGCCCAGGCCCCACTGTGGCGCCACTGTGCAGACAGAACACGGAGACCGTGGATGGTGGGCTGCTGGTGGGGTCTGCCCCACATCATAGCTGACCCCATGCCGCCATCCCTGAGCCCTGCCCCTTCCAGGCTGGTGCTCTTGGCCAAGGCCCGGCACCATGGGTGCTACCTGGTGGGCTCCTGCAGACAGGCCAGACAGCTGTCCTGGAGGCGGCCGCAGTGGCCACTGGCAGCAGAAGGAGAGAGGCTGCCACCACCTGGCGAGACACAGCAGGCTGCTTAGTGAGCCCCAGGCCATTCTTCACCCCGAGCTTTTCCAATAAAAAAGCAGTTGGACACAAACCACAGACTTGCAAAGGGGCCATGGGCCACTGCTCCTGAGCCTCCCACCAGCTGTCATGGGCCAGGAGGGGCTTTGCGGGGCGGGCAGCCTCTGGGGAGGGGTGGCACTGAGCTACACTATGTAAGGGAAGTGGTAGGGAGGTGTCTGCAGCAGCAGAGCCCAGGGTGAGTCCCCAGGGCGCGGCTGGCCTGGTGGGAGCTGGCACCCCAGACAGAGCTCCAGCCCGAGGCGGGCCCCACACCCTCCCCACGCCCCGTCCAGGAGGCCCTCCTCCCGTGCCGTCCCCACTGTCCATCCCAGAGGCCCTCATCCTGTACCTTCTGTCCCAGAGACCTTCTTGGGGTTTACTGCCACCTGCCCAGGCATCCGCTTCCGTGGGGAGGGCTGTGGCCTTTCCTGCACGTCTGCTGGGTCAGCACCCACAGACCCCACCCAGGACGCTGTCTGTGGCTTCTCCATCTCCCACCCACCAGAAGCAGCCAGGCCACGTGAGCCATCAGCTCCCCAGTTCTGAGTGAGGGTCTATAAGGATCCCTGTGAACGTGGGCACTCGGGGGCCTTCTTTCTGCATCCAGTTCACAGATGGGTTCTGCACAAGTCTGGGGCTGCTGAGGAGCTCAGGGCCCTGCTAGCAGCGAAGCGCCCACGTTCCTGTCTCAGATGCAGGAATCCTGCCATCCAGACCTGCAGACTCCATCCCTCCTGCCTCCCCAGGTGCTGCCTGGCAGGGGTGCCTGGCTCGCACAGCAGTGCCCAGGGACGGAGGTCTGTGTGCCTCTGCTCTCAGTGGGTAGGGCGGAGGGCTGGGGACAAGCACTGGGCACCAGCAGAGTTCTCACCCCTGCTTCAGCCTCTGTGTGCGTCTGTGTGGGCTCCGTGCAGCCTCTCCTGACCATCTGAACCCAGCACTGGTCGCTGAAGACCAGGAGGGACCTGAGGCCTCCTGCCCTCCTGCCTCTCCCAAACTCAGGAAGCAAACTTCCGAGCCCAGGGTGTGGATGCCACGGAGAAGCGGAGAGGCCTGGACGAAGGCCCTGGGCCCCTCCCTCTCACTGCAGCCTGGGACGTGCTGCCGGCCCCCAGAACTCACCAGGGTTGTCCCCACCTCTGGCTTCCGTCTCAGCCAGCCTGGGACACACAGCTCAGAGCCCACCCCAGGGTCACACAGAGGACAGGATGATGGGCCAACAGGGAGAGGTCCCCTTGGTTTTCCTGGCCCCACGCCAGGGGGCTTTTTAAAGCACGGTTCCTCTGCCCATCCCGGGAGCTTCCCCCCGACAGCAGCACATGGGGCAGCAGGCAGGGCCTGCTCACTCTGCCAGCACCATGCCCCTCGTGCGCCGGCCCTCAGACTGCCACGGCCAGGAGCTGCCTTCCCCACCCTACCCCACTAGGCCCCTCTGCTCTCCTGAGTGACCGTGGCCTGAAACACTGCCCGGGACACAGGCTGGCAGCCCCTCTCCCCAGCCCCTGCCGTCCTCCTCGGGCCCCATGGCCGCGACGCCTCGGAGAAGCCCCAGCGCCACCGGCACTGCACACGGACCCCGTCCTGCCAGGACCTGTGTGCACAGCCCTGGTCTGGACCCCAGCCTCCCGCACTCAGAGCTGCTCCTCGCCCCTTGGCTGCTCGGGTGTCTGAGAGACAAACGCCCCAGTGTGCAGATGCCACCTGACCCCATCCTAGAACCCTCCTTCAGCCCGTGCTCTCCCATGGACCCCTCGTCCTCCAGCCGAGGCAGGGGTCGAATCACTGTGGGCACAGCCCACAGGCGCTGGTGGGGCCCCAGAGGCTGGCGTTGCCCTTGGTTGCTGGATGTGGGCGTGTGCGGTTATGGGGCAGCTGTCAGCTTCTCCGCCAGCGCCACCTCCTTCACCTGGACCTGCCCTCATCTCTGTAAAGGAGGTGAGGAGAGTAGAGGGGGGCCCCCAGCAGCCCCCAGGTTCCCGAATCCCCTCCTTCCTGCCTCTTTTGGAGCAGCCCTTGGCTGAGGAGAGTCTTCCCCGAAAACTGCTTTTAAATGAAAGGAGGTGGGGGATGGGTGAGTGCCTGGCTGTGTCCCAGGTGCCTGTGACCTCATTTCATTGCCGAGATCAGGATGAATGTCACTCCTGTGAAACGCTGGGCCTGTCAGAGTTGGGCGAAGGAGCAGTGGCCTGGGGCTGAGGACGAATCAAGGCCACTCGGGGTCGAGGTGAGGCCCCTCCTGTGGGCTTAGTGACCCTCCCCGGACAGGCGAGGAGAGGCACATCGAGCAGGAACACTGTGGCTGGAAGCAGCCCAGGAAGCCAGATCCCAGACATGGCTGAGCCCAGACTGCGGCCCACACGGTGCCTTCACCAGGCCCCAGGCCATGGCCACCGAAGGAGCCGGCCCAGCCCGGCCTCTGGCTTCCACGGGACTTACCTTGACTTCCTGGAGCATCACAACCAAACGGCCCAGCTCCTCCTCCCCTGGCCACTGCCACTCTGGCTCCAACATCTGGACTACCACCAGGCCCTCAGCTGTGACACCCCACAGCCCAGACAGCTCCTGCCAGGACACGGGCCACTAGGGTGCCCCCAATCCCTGTGCAGACCCCCTGTGGAGCTGTTCCATTCATAAAAACCTGCCTGGAAGCCTGGGGCAGAGTCGCCCTGCCCCAGGGCAGAGAATCATAGCACATGCGTGGTCCGACTTGGGCCTCTGCAGGGCCGTCCCCGAAGCTGGGATGTCCATTCCCCGGCACATCTGGCAGGGCCCTCACCCCCATCCAGGTGCCCCTGGGGGACCCTTGGCAGTCACAAGAGACAACGAGGTGAGTGGTCACGGGCCAGGGCCTTACCCGGCCTCCCCACCCTCCCTGGCCTGGGCTCCTTGGCCAGAGCAGGTGATGCCTTTGGGACAAGTAGGAGGACCTGGACCCGGAGCTGCCTGGGACAGCAGAGCCCCATGGAGGCTGCCTCTAGGCTCTGAGAGGATACGGCCTGGGGCTGCTCCAGGCTTCCTTCCCTGCTCAGGCTGCAGAAATCTGCACTACCAGGGGCTTTGCTGCTCCTGAATGCTGAGGGGAACCGTGGCATGGTAACGGGCTAGGCATCGACCTCACCGTTCTGGGGGCTAGCGGGTTGAGGGTGGGGGCTAGGCTCTGCCCACGTTCCCTCACGGTGGATGGAGCCAGTCTCGGGGCACAGGCCCAGCTGCCCTCTGCTCCCCAGGAGCTGGAGTGCCCAATCCCACAGCGGCCCTGCCCAGGGCACCTCCCAGCTGGGGCAGCACTGATGACCTGGGCCTACATCCCACCAGCCATGGTATAGGCCCCAGCCCTGGGCAGGCTCTTCCACAGCTGGGAGAGGCCGGTGCCCCACGCCTGGGAGGCCCCTGCACCCGACCGGGTGGAAGAATCCCACCAATGCCTGGTCTCCAGGAGCCAAAGTCAGCAGGGGAGGGCAGGATACTGGGCTTACCTTGTCATCCGGGCCGCTCTCACTGTCGCACTGCAAGGACAGAGAGAGAGAAGTGAATCAGGGCCCCACACCCACCAGTGTCACAGCCAGGGCACGGTGGCAGCCAGGCTGCAGGGGCATGGGAGGGGCAGCCCTGGCTGCTGTGGGAGAGGGAGGTGCCAGCAGGTCCAGGTCCAGGGTGGTCAGGAGGAAGCTGGGCCTGGGCCCGGGGCTGCACTAGGTGCCAGGGGATGGACAAAGGGGCACTGGCAGGCCGACTCCCCAGCAGCAGGGGCAAGACCAGCCCTACAGCCCGAGAGGAGGCCTCACCAGCCAGACCCTCAGAGCAGACATGGGGTCCCAGAGCAACCACGAAGACCCCCATCACAGGCCAGCCAGAACCTTCCCTGCACCAGGAAGGAGGCCAGCCTCCTACCCAGGCCAGCCCCACTGTCCCCTGTGACCCTGAGGGGATCGATGGCACCACATGGGCTGGGAGACCCGGGACCCCCAGTACCTCATGGTGGGTGGAGCCTGGGAGCCCCTGGGGTCAGAACAGCCTGGGGGCCAGCAGCACAGGAAGAGGGTAGCCACTCAGGGTTAGACACAGGAGGCCAGCACCCTCTGTGAGCTCAGCTGGTTAGGGTGGGGGTGTGATAATCCCAAAAACAAATTTCTGTTTTCCACGTTCAGTAAGCAGAGCTTTACTGAGGACACAAAGCTATAGGAACCACCGCAACCTCCCCTAAGAAGATAAAAAAGGGAAAAAAATCCCTTCCTGGCAAATGCAATTATGATGCATTCACGTCACAGGAATGGCACAGCGGGAAATAATCCGCCCAGTGTACAGGCGGCGTGAGCTCCGGTCGGACGCGCGTGCGGCTCTCCTGCATGGGTCCACGCAAACGCACGGCCACCCACCATGCTGCAGTTTTCAGTGACCGCGTTCCTGGCACGGTGTGAAACGCTTTAGCTGCAGACACTCTGCAGCCAGAAAGTGTCACTCCCCAAGAGTGGCAAGTGATACTCCAGGTCCTGGCCTGGGACCCCTGGGGGAGCCGGGCAGCTGGGGTGGGCCCCTGGAGGGGAGGGGTCCTGAGGCTGACAGGCTCCCCTAGGCTGTCTATCCCAGCTGTGTGCTGCTCTGGTGGGCCAGGCTGAGACTCCCAGGGTGGGCATCCTTTCCCACAGAGGAGGAAGATGGGAGCCTCTTCTGGCTGCACAGCCATGGCTAAGCCCTTTCTGAGGGTCCCCCCAGTCTAGCCTTTAGGGTGACAGGCAGAGAAGAGCCTCAGCCCCTCCCGCACCCACCCAGCCAGGCCCACCACACAGGCGCTGAGGACTCTGAGTCAGAAGTGGGCCCACCCCACCCCGGAGGCCAAAGGTGTGGAGCTCACCAAGGGCTGGGCCACAAGACCCCACATGCAGACCAGCCTTGCTGGCAGCTCTGGGCCCCTGGAGGCCTCCATCTCCCTGCTATGATATGGGAGGGCCTTGGTGTTTAGAGAAAAAGTATGGAACAGAACTGCCTAGGCTCAGCCAAGAGCAAAGGAAGCAAAGACTGGGATGTGGGGCCAGGGAGGGCCCAGACTGAGCATGCAGGTGCCTGCAGGGAACGCAGAGGGGAGGAATGCACCAGGACTGAGGGGACCACCAGGGCTGGAAGAGGGCAAAGCAAGAGCTGTGACTGAGCTGCGGGTGCCCTCTGCGCACAGGGAGCCTGGCAGGGCAGAGCGGGGGCACATCCTAGAGGCAGGTCAGGAGGCGGCCCTGCCGGCACCCGGAGGCCTGCAGGGGTGTTAGGTGCCAGTGTGACCTCATCGTGGGACTTCTGGGGACCCCCAGTAAGGCCTCTTCCTGCTTAATTTGCACTGCAGAGCCCTCAAGTTGGAAACTGCGATCCCAGCAGACTATCAGGGTATTGGCCAACCAGGCCTCAAGTGGCTTGTCACATGGGGCCACCTGGGTGCACCTGACCTGCTCAGCCTCTGCTGCAATCCCTGCTTGAGCCTCAGTTGGCCCCAAGACCCATGGGCCAGAGCCAGCAGCTCCCACAAGCCCGGACCTGGTTACAAATCTCCCCACAGCTTTCAGGTCTTTGGCTGGACCCAGCCAGGCAGGTTGCACCGGCGAAGGTTTAATGTATCCAACAGGAAGGAGGCAGTGAGGGGTGCTGTCCAGCAAGAGGGTGCTGCAGGGACCCTCCAATTAACCACACGGCACAGCACTGCCAGCCAGGCACAGGCAGGGGCGGGAATCAATTCACGTTATTAGGTCCTACTGAATTAATGTGTAACTGCAGTGGGGTCGGCACTGAATGAGGCAATTAATCAGGGTTAAATTAAAAAGGAGCGACACGTCCGCCCCTCGGGAGCTGCCTGCGTGAGGCAACCTTCACAGGGCTGGGGCTGGGCTCAGTGGCCAGGGAATGCCACCCTGGTGTGGGTACGGGATACGCAGGGATGCCTGGGAGCAAGGACAGACCCCAGGCCCCAAAGGGACACGCTGGGCATGACCAGGAGGAAGACCCAGGCTCCAAAGAAGATGCCTGTTCCGGGCCGCACCGCACCTACACTGGGCAAGTCCCTGGACCTCTCTGTGTCTCAGTTTATGCTTCTATAAACAGGCATAACTTCCAGGGTTGCCACTGATGGCTCATGGGATTATTGTGTGGCTTAAATACGCGACTGTGTGCAAAGCGCTAAAGCAATGCTTGATGCAGTCAGTGTATTATACATATACGATGGTGTCACCACCACCAGCGCCCTCACCACTATCCTCACCACCACCATCCTCACCACCATCCTCACCACCATCCTCATCACCACCATCCTCACCACCACCATCCTCACC